GCAGATACATTAAACGTAGTATCATATGATCTTCCACATAGCAAATATAAGAATTTGTTCAATTGGGATGTTACATGCAACTCTTTGGCTTAATTCACTTATTTACAATAAATATAAAAATTACCTCCAATAATGATTTTTGTTTTTCTTAATAAAAATGCTTAATAAAAGTTTATTTGTCAAACATCATTAGTATTATTTTCGAGGACACCTATCCGTTATCGGGCGGCGAGGCGCGCGGCCCGGCCGGAACATCTGCGGGTAATTAAGAGATTCCGCGCTAATCTTACTAATCGGGTTGATCCGCACTCACTTCTCAGTCTGAAGATAGATTATGGTCATATATCTGGTTTATTAGAACGAGCCGCCGGGCTTTCGGGTGCGGGAGAGCTTTAAGATCGATTGCCCCAGTGAAATTCGCGCTTTGTTGTTTTGCTTATTGTTATGGGAGGATAAAATGATAAAAGGAGTTCGCTGAAGAGAAGCAGAGATGAAGAGGGTTGTTCATTTGTTCAAAAGAATTACATAAAGACGTTGACGCGTTGTCGGAAATCATTTATTTTATGGCTTTGTTGTTCTCGAGGAAAACACTACAATTCGTACGATTCGAATGTATACTGATGTACTTCATTAGGTGAATATATTTGTAAAAGTGAAAAGTCATATTATTGTTTCATAGTATTTTATAAAATAATGAAATTTTAATAGTGATAAATCAAAATTGTAATTGAAAAATAGTATGCAGGTATATGTGATATGTGCCGAACAGAGAAACTGACAAAGAAGGTTGTTGACTCGTTGGAGACAATTTCAAGAGAACCCTAAAGATATTCTTAATTCTTAATTAAAAATATACCATTAAGCCATATTTTATGTAATTAACAATCTTTGGACTTGAATTATATGCACATCATATATATGTGATTGATCACAAACATTTATCTTACCTTAGTAAGTATTATAGAAATTGTGAGAATTTTGTTAATATGAACTATGAGTATAGTATCGAAAAAACAATTTGGAGATAAACGCGTTTAAAGTTTTGCGGAAGAGAAAAACCGATGAGAATTATTATGGGCGTTCAGCGTTCATCTCCGTAAAATAATTAATTTTTGAAAAATTCATTCATACACATATTCTGAACAAATAAACTTAGGTAATATGCAAAGAAACAAAACATTTTTTTTTCATATTTCTAGACCAGAAAACCCCCAAAAAATTTACGTTATCAAATTCTATTAATATATATATATAAATAATAATAATAATAAAATAATAATAATATATATAAATTTAAAATAAATAGTCAAATAGTTTCAAATTTAAAATAAATAGTCAAATAGTTTCAAATTTAAAATAAATAGTCAAATAGTTTCAAATTTAAAATAAATAGTCAAATAGTTTCAAATTTAAAATAAATAGTCAAATAGTTTCAAATTTAAAATAAATAGTCAAATAGTTTCAAATTTAAAATAAATAGTCAAATAGTTTCAAATGTAAAATAAATAGTCAAATAGTTTCAAATTTAAAATAAATAGTCAAATAATTTCAAATTTAAAATAAATAGTCAAATAGTTTCAAATTTAAAATAAATAGTCAAATAGTTTCAAATTTAAAATAAATAGTCAAATAGTTTCAAATTTAAAATAAATAGTCAAATGATTTCAAATTTAAAATAAATAGTCAAATAGTTTCAAATTTAAAATAAATAGTCAAATAGTTTCAAATTTAAAATAAATAGTCAAATAGTTTCAAATTTAAAATAAATAGTCAAATAGTTTCAAACCTAAAATAAATAGTCAAATAGTTTCAAATTTAAAATAAATAGTCAAATAATTTCAAATTTAAAATAAATAGTCAAATAGTTTCAAATTTAAAATAAATAGTCAAATAGTTTCAAATTTAAAATAAATAGTCAAATAGTTTCAAATTTAAAATAAATAGTCAAATAGTTTCAAATTTAAAATAAATAGTCAAATAGTTTCAAATTTAAAATAAATAGTCAAATAGTTTCAAATTTAAAATAAATAGTCAAATAGTTTCAAACCTAAAATAAATAGTCAAATAGTTTCAAATTTAAAATAAATAGTCAAATAATTTCAAATTTAAAATAAATAGTCATTGTTTTGAAAAAAACATAGAAATTGTTTAAAAAAAATTATCAAAAAATATTGTAAATCATCAGAACATGCTTTAAATCTGAAAATGTTTAAAAATAGTCAGAAAATGTTAACAAAACATAGAAACTGTTTAAAAGTGTCAGAAAATATAGTATTTTGTCAGAAGATATTGTAAATTGCTAGAAAATATAAATGTATAAAAGTGTGAATGGTCTAAAAATCAAACTAAAATAAAATAAAATCTCCATTTTAACTGCATTTCAACATTAGTAAGATTGACATGGGAACATTTCTTCAAATTGCATATCGAGGTTTTTATTTGGAGCCTCACGTGCTGTCAAAAAAGTCTGCAAGGAGGGGCATAATAAATAAAAAAAGGGTAATAAATAAATAAACCTTGAGCATCTTTTGCTCACTAAGAGAAACAGAATAATAGCTAAAAAATGGAACATCGAACCAGATGTTACCAAATACCAACATCTTATCGTTTCATTAAGAAGCCACACAAGGCCTGATAAAAAATCTAATAATGCATGTAGATAGTAAACTAAATTGGAAAATGTACATAATAATGAAAAAGGAATAAATAGATTTAAAATTGAAGTACCTGAACTCATAGGATGATCATCCAAACTTTGATTACAGAATAAGCTTCTCGATGATAATTCCAATATCGACACATGGTATATAACATATTTGTATAATTCAGAAAGCCCGAAACAATATACTGAGAATGATATGCAGCACTTGATGGCTTTATATATAATTCACGAGGACCTAAAAATTCCCAATAGAAGTCATTAAAAGCAGAAGGTAGATTGTTCGAGACAAATTGGATACATATGTCAATCCCAGTCAGTCGAAAAACTAAAGAGAAAATGGCTGAGTGATCTATGATCCAGAACATAATTCTGCAAGTTATTTATAATTACTATTTGCTCACTTTTTTAATTCTATTTCTTATACTACATTTTTTAACTCCCCTTAGGGTAAGTTATAGTAATCGTGATGTTTCTGGACATTTTGACATACATTACAAAAAATGGATGTATGTGTACGTGTCAAAAATGTTAATGTTTTTAAAAATAATTTTTTGTACGGGAAGTTCCAACAAGTTGCCTTAAGGAACGATGCCGTGCGCCCCACTAGTTTTATTTCAATTTTCAACATCTTTGCTTGTAACTTACAGGTTATGTTGTAAAAATATTACCTATAAGTGTATATATAACTTTTAAGTATAAAAAAATCTGTATTGGAATTTGATGCATTAAAACTGACTACTAAATCACAAGCAAGAATCAGCACGAACCCATAAAACTCGTTCTTAACAAAACTATCAAATGTCTATATACTAAATGTCTATTACCATACCTTTCAATTACTATCCGATCCGCCGCTCGTGACTTCTAAGGGTGCTCCATTTTTCTTGCATCACAAAATATTTCTTGCACAACTAACTACATTATTTATATAGCACTCACTTCTTTTTTTTGTCATTTGTTTTCACTAGAATTCCATAAAGAACTAAGGCGCCTTCAACAAGTGCTGACAGGTCGCCATTTTGTGCAACTTCAGAGTTTTCGATCGGTGAACAGTAGCGCCACAAAGGGTCCAATTTCAAATTTGAATTTTGACTAAATGATATATGCAAATTGTTATAACTTTATTTCACATTTGTAACGCATTGCAAATATAATAAGTATTGAAGTAAAACTTTTTTGTTGCTGTATGAGATGGCATTTAAGTAAGAATAAATACATCATATAACAATTTTGAATAACGCTCATCAGTAATATGGTAACACTCGTGATGCACACATTTATTAGTGTCAACCATTATATATATTTATATGATAATGATGAATTATATATTTATAATAGCATTAAAAATATGTAAAATATTTACAAACAATAATGTAATTAAAGTCATACTTCGGATATGACATTGTCGGTTTGTCATTGTAATTAGCATTTAAAAATGAACCTTCATTAAAGAAATGAAGTAATTGCTGATTAATAAATTCACACAGTAAACTTGTAACAAATAAATAGTTTATTTATAGCATAGATGTCCATTATAAAGTATATATTTATAGAAATGATACAAACCTACACAAACTATTCTTGTGCTTCAACTCTTGTTTAGATTAATAAATCTGAATATCAATTTATTCTTCATTATGCAACTTTGTAATACTTAGCATGATCGAAAAACATGTAGACTTCATCTAAACTACCAAAAATATCTGAGATATAATACTGAAAAGGATATATCTTAGGCATGATAGAATAAAGGTGTACTGCTTCAATATTTTTATGAGCTATAAAAATGAAGATAATTATTATGTTAAACAACGCCAAATATTGTTTTTGCAACTTCACTCGTCATGTAATAATTCTGTTTGAAGAACTTCATGTAATTAAAATTAACATACATTTATTGGCTGATGGTATTTTTTTTACTTATTTGTTGACGATATAATCTCAGTCTTCGAGCAGCTATAAAACCTGTCTTGACTGAAAAATATTTTCTATTTTGACTTGTTTTTTGTTTTAAATCTTGTTTATATATTCATTTAATTATTAATTTGCTCTTATTTAAAATCAAATCAGTGTTAAATTGAACCATATAATATATAAAAGATATACAAAATATATCAATTTTTATTTATACAAAACACAAAAATTAAACGCATATTATTATTGCTCCTATTATTTTTTTACAGACAGAGGAATACCTTGAAATTAAATTAATAACAAAAATATGTACATACTTTATTTATTTAATAAAAAAAAAACTTTCTGTTTAGTTTTACAATTACGTTCGACTTTCAACACTAAAGAGCACTTATATATATTTTTTTAAATCATTTCCTCTCGTTCAACCATTTTGCAACAATGTTTTGTTAACTTTTAACCATTTTATATTATTGGAAACAGTTTCCAGGGCTTGTTTCCGAGCAGCAGCTCCTGCTCCGGCCTCCGGAAATTTGGCAAAGAAGTCAATCATCTAAAAAATTAAATTTTAATTCGGGACATTTTTTTGGTTTTTGTCAAATAACTCAAATACTTCATATAAAACCACCCTTTTCAATTACACAGGGTGAAACTAGATAAAATTTACAACATTTCCTAGGTCACACTTTTATACACTCCGATATAAAAATTTTGAATAAATGATAATTTTGTATCATCTTTCATATCGTCTTTTTACCTCTTTCAGCCTATCCTCAGTAGTAAATCTGTCGGTAACAGATGGAATAAGTCTGCCCAAATTTCTTTCCCCCAATCCGAACCTGTCGATCATTTTTTGCCAATTGTCCTGGACGTATTTCCAGGTTGCATCAGTACTTAAAGGATTTGCAGAAATCGAGGACATGCATTTGAAATAATCCTGCCCTCGAACGTTTTCTTCTAGCCAGGCCAAATCTGTATACCTGGGGAGGAAAATATTGATAAAAATTGATAAAAATTAGATAAAAATTAGATAAAAATTAGATAAAAATAGTATAGAAAGATGATTTTTTGTGCAAAAAGTTTTTTGAAGTTTTGACTAAATATTTAAATAAATGAATGTATATACTCTAGTAGAAAATTATTATTTAAAACCTCTTTTTAGTCAAGAAGGATCTTCTGAGCTAATATATACAACAAAGATTTCAAAATTCGTTAAAAATAATTTAAAATTAAATGAAATGGTAATTTTGATACTAATAATTTTTTTTGAAGTTTAAGCTATTTATTTAAGTCAAAAATGTTTATTTTAGTATATATTTGTTAGTTAAAATCGCTTTTTATACATATATTATTATCGCGTCGTGATATTTCTGAAGTCGATTTAAAGTAGAGTTTGAAAAAGTCATAAAAAATATTTGCAACTTGGTAAAGGCTAAGTTTTCAGAACTATATATTATTTTGAAGTTTTAACTAAATATTTAGAATAAAAAATATATATATACTTTAGTACAAATTTATGATTTAAAATCGTTTTTTATTTAAAATGTCACGAGTAAATTTAAGAAGCAGATAAATCCAATAAAGTTTGAAAATCGTTAAAAATTATTTATATTTAACGAAAAGCATAACTAATAGTGTGAGGGATATTTTTAAGGTTTTAACGAAATATATAAATATTAAAATATATAGACCGAGACCAAGACCGAGGAGACCGAGACCGAGACCGAGACCGAGACCGAGACCGAGACCAAGACCGAGACCGAGACCGAGACCGAGGAGACCGAGACCGAGACCGAGACCAAGACCGAGACCAAGACCGAGACCAAGACCGAGACCAAGACCGAGACCAAGACCGAGACCGAGAAGACCGAGACCGAGACCGAGAAGACCAAGACCGAGACCAAGACCGAGACCGAGACCGAGACCGAGACCGAGACCAAGACCGAGACCAAGACCGAGACCAAGACCGAGACCAAGACCGAGACCAAGACCGAGACCAAGACCGAGAGACCGAGGAGACCGAGACCGAGGAGACGAGACCGAGACCAAGACCGAGGAACGAGGAGACCGAGACCGAGACCGAGAGAGACCAAGACCGAGGAGACCGAGACCGAGATGAGACCAGACCGAGACCAAGACCGAGACCGAGGGACCGAGACCGAGACCAAGACCGAGAGAGAGACCGAGACCGAGGACCGAGACCAAGACCGAGACCTAGACCAAGACCG